CGGTTTGAGTTTTTTATGTTTAACAATTATAAAATTTTAAATAAGAAGAATATTAAGAATCATAATTTTTTCATTCATACTTTTTTTTAATCATATGACTTTTGGATCATAAAATTTTGAATCATAGTATTTTGAATCATAACGATATTATGCATCATACATTTTTGAATCATATTAATTTGGATCATAATATATTTAATTAAATAAAGTTTTTTTAATACAATATTTGGATCATTATAATTTTTGAATATTTTAATTTTGAATCATAAAAAATATAATAATTAATAATCATCAAATATTTGAATCAAAATATTTTTAGATCATAACAAGTTAAGGATCATAAACACATTGAATCATAAATATTTTTGAATCATAAATATTTTGAATCATCTCTATTTGTATCATATTATGTTCAACATTTTTTAAAAAACTTTTAATCTTTTAAAATTATGTTTGGTATCTAAAACACCTTATTTTTTTAAAAACTTTTATAGTTTTTGGAGAATTTTTTTTCTGAGTTTTTTTATGAATATTAAAAATAAAAAAAATTATTATTTTTTTTCAAATTTTAGTTATTGTGCTCATTTTGTAGAGAATTAAATTTTAAGAAGTTTGGTCTTTCAGATTTTTTTTTCAAAGAAAAAGAAAGTTACGGCCGACAAACTAAGCGAGTGTAAAAAACCCCACCAGCCAATAAAGGTTTGACACTTGTCATGCTGGGGGTAGGGGCACGTGTCAGCTCCTGTTGAGGCCCATGGCCGAATTTTCATTTTCTTTTAATTATAAAAATGTCGTATCATCTCGTGAGATTTTGACGATAAATAAAATGGTCAGTGTCCAATTTTTATTAGTTGGTGGGTTTTTTTCCACCCGCTTAGTTTTTCTGTCATAACTATTTTTTTCTTTGAAAAAAAAAAATCTAAATAAACCAAAGTTCTTAAAATTTAATTCTCTACAAAATGAGCATAATCATGAAATTTTGAAAAACAAAATATTTTTTTCACTTTTTATATTTATAAAAAAAACCCAGAAAAAAATCTCCAAAATTTATCAAAACTTAAGGAATACTTCTACTCACTATTCTAATGACTTTATAAAAAGAATTTTTAAAAAAATAATGTGCTTTAGATACTAAACATGATTTTAAAAGATTAAAAGTTTTTAAAAAAAAATATTGAATAGAATATGATGCAAATAAAGATGATTCAAAATATTTATGATTCAAAAGTATTATGATTCAATATGTTTATGATCTTTAACTTGTTATGATCTAAAAATATTTTGATTCAAATATTTAATGATTCTTAATTATTATATTTTTTATGATTCAAAATTAAATGATTCAAAAATTATAACGATCCAAATGTTATATTGAACAAAAACTTTATTTAATTCAATATATTATGATCCAAATTAATATAATCCAAAAATGTATGATGCATGATATCATTATGATTCAAAATAATATGATAAAAAAAATTTACGATAAAAAAATAATATGATTCAAAAAAAAAGTATGGATGAAAAATATTATGATCCTTAATATTCTTCTTATTTAAAATTTTATAATTTTTAAACATTAAAAATTCAAACCGATATTTAGTCTAAAAATTCAAAAACATAAAAAAAAAATCAAAAAAAACATACTATATTCAAGTATGTAGTAAAGACATTAATAAATTGTCAAAAATATTAGGGTATTCCTAGGGTTCTTGATGTTTAATTGTTTGTTGCAAATCAAGAGAGATAGATCCAATAGGTTGCATATGAACTTAGGGTTAAGTTTTTTCCGCCAAATATTTTTTTTGTAACCTATAAAACCTATCAGTGGTATCAAAGTCATAGGTTTTCAATTGATCTTGTACAATGTTGAATAGATCAAAATTAGGGTTTATAGAAATTAAACCCTAAGGGAGGCATTTTTCGAAAACTGTTACGGTTCTTGAAATCCTAGCCTCCAACTTTCAAAATTTGTTAGGGTTCTTAAAACCCTAGTTTCATTCTTAATCTATTTCGAAAAATTATGGAGCCCTTTTAGGGTTTATCTTGTTTCCTTAATTGTTATTTTAAAAGCCTTCAAATTTGAATAATTAAAGCCTGATAAACATAAGCCATATTTTCGAAAATTAGGAGGTTTTCGATTGGGATTAAATTTGAATTATTTTATTAATTGTTTAAAAGTAAATAATTATTTAATCCAAAAATCATTTAATTAATTTAATTAATTGTTTAATTCAAAGATAAAGATAAGTCATAATACGTTTAATATTAATTAATTAACATATTTAATTTAAATAATTAATATTTAAGTCTCGTTTTTTGAAAAGTTTTAAAATACACCTTATATATATATATATATATATATATATATATATATATATATATATATATTAATAAAAGTTAATTACTATATGTATAAGACAAGTCAGTCAAATCACTAGTATGCCTCAGTCACGAAGCCGTACTATAAAGGGGGGGGGGGGGGAGGGGGTATAAGGAAGCAACCAATAAAATGACTAGCATGTGTGGCTAACCGACACATCAATGTGAGATGATAAATGACATCGAGGTTGTCAAGCGGGTTTGCATGGTTATTCACATCTCGTTTGTGATCCTCGGCATCCCAGTCACAAAAGTGAGAACATAACCCGAGATTAAACATGTCATCGATAAGATTAAATGAATCTCAAAAGATCTAGGAGTTTCATAAAATTAGAATTGGTAAAAGCCTTACCTACCTAAAGTAGATTCGAATTTGATTACTGCATCCCTTTTGAAAGTTCGAATAAAAAATATGGATGCTAGCCTTAATTTAAATTTTGGGTTAATAATTAAGGATTAAAATCAAGTAACTTGAATTCTCTTTTCTTGTAAATTTTAAATGTCGTATGCATATAGAAATGGTCTTTCTTGTTCTTTTGGAAATGGTTTTCCTCTTTCTTCTGAAGTTGATCTTCCACATTCTGATCAAGGTGAAAATGTTTTCCCTTTTTCAGGAATTGGTGGAACTGGACGTCATGCTTCTTCTACTCTTCCATCTCCTCCTCCTGCTACTCTCCCAACGTTACATTTTCCTCAATTTGAAAGATATGAGGCAACTCAAGCCCTATTGGCATGTAGACATCAAGATGGAAACTTTGTGTGTGCGCATGTTCTGAAAATGAAATCATAAATTGACAAGTTGAATAAATTGGATGTCATTTTCCCAAGGGTGCACGCCATTGACTTGGTTCTTCTTTCGCTTCCAAAGTCATATGATCAATTCATAGAGAACTTTTATATGAGGAATATCGACATGAACCTAATTGATCTGACCCAAATGTTCATAGTTGTTGAAGCAGAAATGGTTAAGAGTACATATAAAGCAAAGATGCTTATTGATTATATTTCCAAGGTTTCCATGGATATTGAAAATGGTGGTCCAGGAAAGATTTCTCATCCTAATGGAAAGGGGTCACCCAAGATCAAATCGTTTGATCGTGTGGTAAAATGAAAAGCTATTTTTGGGATCATTCCAAGTGTTACCCCCAAAGAGTCCATTTGTTTCCAATACCGATTGAAGGGACATTGGAAACAAAGCTTCCTAAAATACCTGAAAGATCTTAGAGATAGTAAATTCAAGTCGCGTGACTCTATTTCACATACATCCATTATCTGACACCATTGTTTTATAAGTTCCTATTCATAGACTCTTAATAGATGATGTGATGATCATATTTTGATGATATTAAAGGAGCTAAGAGAAAGAAGGAAGCTTGAGCAATGTGAGCTAAATCTGATCATGAGAAATAGACTTTGGTCACGTGGTTCGAAGATTAAAATTTGGAGCTACTACTAAGGTTTTGAGATAATTTAATAGATTGCTATATCTAGAAACACGGTTTTCATTTTATGCGTTGTAAGGACAAATTCTAACTTTTCGTTTATTTTCAATACAAGTAAAATTTTGTTTTATCTGGTTGCCTTATTTTATATTTCCTTGCAATGGCATTTATGAAAGTGTTGATTACGTTTCTAATTTTAGCAATATTAATTGTGGATTTAATTCTTATGATATCGCTTGTGGTATTGTCATATGCAAGTGATAAGAATTATCATCATCAAGTTACAAATTGGATAGAAACTTGGAGTCATGCAATTCGAGATGCATGAGAATCTTTGTCATTGGAAAATTATGACTAATTCATTGATCACATGTTTATTTGAGTCAAGTGAAGGACAAATGGATCTAGTACATGTTGATATGGACTATTCAGATCCGCCACAAAGGATGATAACTCTATTCGTCATCATTTTCTGATGTTTCAGTAAATATGGTTCTGTTTACAAGATTAAGCATAATTCTGATACTTTGAAAAAGTAACTGAACGAATAAGAAGAATCTATTAGGCAGAAAGATGAAAGTTTCTCCAATCTAAAAGGAAAGAAGAGTACTATAGTATCATGTTATATGATCATATAGTATCATGTTATATGATCATCTTAGTGATTGTAGATTTATATCACAATTGATCCTCGAAGAATATCTTAGTGAAATTGTATGACTAGACACATAATTTAACAAAATTGTATTAACTTTTTCTAAATGTTTCAAGTACCAATAAACAATAAATTTCTAAAGAATAAGTTACACTTTTTGTCAAAATCATTACAACTATTGAAAATAGACACCAAAATTACAAGAGGAAACTATTTGAGATAAAAAAAATGCAAGTTTTAAACATTCTCAGTGATCAAAACTACAATTTACTCTTTGTTGAAGATGACCAGCAAAGAGTAAGTAACTTTAACTTGAATGAAATGCAAATCAACATAGGATATATAAAAATATAATATATATAGATACAACGTTAAATAAAAAATTAGCCAAAGGATACACAAATTAAAAAAGACTATGCACGTGTATATATATATATATATATATATATATAGATAATATATATATATATATATATATATATATATATATATATATATATATATATATATATCTTATTCACTTGCTACAATTCAAACGAAAAAAAAAAAAATTTCCAGATATGATAGTACCACAATGTCGATACAAAAACGAAATAAATTTTACTTCATCTATCCAAAAATCTATAAACATTACGTACTTAAGAACTTGCTTTCTATCTCATCTGGAAGTTCATAGTCCGTAGGAAAGTGGCATATAGGAAGGCAAAGAATACACAAAAACCAATCAAAACCGCAGCAACGGGACCCATGAAATCCATTTCAAAACCATAGTAGTCATTGAGATACGATGTGAGGGTGGGATCCGTTGCCATGCCAGACACTGTGATCGTGCTATCCACATCATGATACTGTGAAACAATGCATCCATACACGGTCCACGCCATGGGGCAGATCCAGTAGTACCACACCCACCATCCGGGAATTTTCTAAAAACACAACAATTTAATAAACATTAAACAATATAATACAATTATACAAAATTGAGTTAATTTTGATACTTACGGGTTGTGGGATATAAAAGCCCGAGAAAATATTAAAAAGTAGGTAGAAACCAGCTGCGAATATGGCTGCGATTTGCTCGTTTGGTGTAATGGAAACAGTCATCATTCCATAGTAAGTGAAGTAAAGGAACGAAAAGAAGTTGATGAAAAAGAGCCAGAAGAATTTGGGTGCTGTCCATTCGAATGAAACCATGGTGTACACAATGCAAGTGTAATATGTCGTTTGAAGGAATACATATGGTATCTCTACAAACACCTATTCAACGAAAAGGGTAAGTTAGTAATTTCCAATTAAGTAAATTTTAATTAAAATTTATCTAACCTGTGCCATGGCGTATGGTAACGATGAGTACATCCCAGCAGCTCTTTCACGATAAAAGACTGTTCTTTCTGTTGCAACAACCGGTTGTACTGTCTGTGAATTGTTAATACCAACAAAAAATATAGCCGCGTACATTGCCCCAATTGTTGTGCTCAAATCATTACTACTCGACCTGAAATTTATAAAGAATATTAAAATTAGGGCAAATTTGTCATTTCAAAAGAAGCAAATTAAGCCTCATTTTTTGTACTCACTTTTTGTTTCCGATTTTCCAGAATACTGTCCCGACCATGAGTGCACAAAGTAAAGTGAAGAAGAAACGGACAAGGTTATAATCGGGATTTCGCCAGTAACTCCACCACATCTTCCATAGACAAGATGTGAATTGTCCCCACATTGATTGAGAATATTGTGTCTCAAAGTGAAGATCTACAGCACCTGGGGGAGGTACACTTAACTCCTTCACCATCTCCTTGTTCCTCCTGTCAAGCATACACACGTTATAATTACAATTTGTTGATATGTTAATCCAAGGCTTTGGTTTCAATGTATCCCAATCAAAATTAACTTAACAAATTTTGATTGTTTTTTTTTTTTTATCTTTTCTTGTTTTTGCGAAGAAAAGTGAGTTAAATCTTATAATTAGGGGATTGGATTGAAAGATTAGTCTATGTGATTGTAATAATTATTGATAATTTTCCCAATATAAAGGACTTACTGATGCAAAGATGATGCATTGTAATGCTCAGCAAAATCAATGTTGAGTCGTGTCTCTGCAGAACCAGAGCTGACTTCCAACATCCATGTTGCTGGGTTGTACTTTTCGGGGATCTTTGGAACCCCAGGAACTTCCTGATTATATAGAAAAATATATATATTAGTCTCAAATGTTTTGAAATTATAGTTTATATATATATATATATATATATATATATATATATATATATAATATATATATATATATATATATTTATTTATGCAAGTGAAAATACCTCAAAGTAGTCGATGATGCTTTGAGAATGTCTGCCTAATGGTCCCGCATAGATAACTTTTCCTCCTCTTTTCAATAACAATAACTCATCAAACGATTCAAAGATATCAATGCTGGGCTGATGAATGGTGCAAACAACCGTTCTCCCTGTGTCCACAGTGTTTCTTACAGCCCTCATAACAATGGCAGCTGCTCTTGCATCAAGCCCAGAAGTCGGTTCATCCATGAAAATAATCGAAGGATTAGCAACAAGCTCCACTGCAATTGTTAGCCTCTTTCTTTGTTCTGTTGATAAACCACTAACTCCTGGAAGTCCCACTATCGCATCCTTGATGTTGTCTAGTTCAACTAGCTCCATTACTTCACCCACAAAAGTCTGAAACGTAAAAAAGTTAATTAACACTTTGTGCTTCTTTTCTATATCTAATTTAACAAAAAAAAATTCTTACCATTTTGTCTTCTTTGCTAACTTCTTTTGGGAGACGGAGGAAAGCAGAGTAGATTAAAGATTCGTGAACAGTGATTGTAGGAGAGTGGATATCTGTTTGCTCACAATATCCAGAGATTCTTGCAAATGTTTCTTGTTTTTTAGGGAATCCGGATATTCTTATGTCACCTTCGATATAACCACTAGTCTTTCTTCCTGCTAAAACATCCATTAATGTAGTTTTTCCAGCTCCACTTACTCCCATCAATGCAGTTAGGACTCCAGGCCTAAAAGCACCCGTTACTTGACTAAGTAATTGCAACCTATTTTCTGTCACCCCTTGCTCTCTCATTTCCTGTTTAATCACAAAACAATCGTTAATTAAGTCTCCACTACAATAAATATTTAGTAGCAACATAGATTAATGAAATGGGCTTACATAAGGCATGTCAACGAAATAGCTCATTTTGTCGAATGACATGGCGTATGGAGTAAACTGAAGAACCATGCCCTTCTTAGCAACATTAGTAACCTCAGAAGCGATTTTATTTCCATTAGCATGATGTAAATGTAATGTTGGTTCTTGGTTGGTATCTTGACCTTCTAATTCCATGGCTGCAGCTTCTTCCTTGGAGATGATTGCTTGTGGTTTTCCGGGGGCTAATTAATCAGTCAGAAGAAGGATCATTAATAGGGTTAGTTAGTGGATATATGAGTAAACTATAGGGGAGTGAATTGAAACTTACCGTCTAAATACGCGAGAGCAATAGTGAAGAGGAAATTAAAGAGAAATGTGAAACCAAGAAGAGCAGCAGCACCGATCCAATATGAGCTTTCTTTAGTTGGGATGTCGAGATTCTCTAACACTGCGTAGCCCAAGTTGGTTGAATTGTCCGAGCTCTGCCAAATATATTAAATTTAATTTGTTTGTTTTTTCTAACGCAAATTACCAAAAAAAAAAAATGGGTAGTTTTGCCATTTACACTAATATATATTTTTTTCAATAAAATCATACAAAAATTAAAACAATTTTTTTTTTTTTTTTTTTTTTGTAATTTAACGATTTTGACATGTTATATAAGGTTCTACATAAGATTTTATTGTGTCATGTTTCACTAATGATTTTCCAAACTTACCATTTATCAGATCAAATGGTTAATTTGGTTTTTTTCTAATTTAACGATTTTGACATGTTATATAAGATTTTATTTTCTCATTTTCACGGATGATTTTCGAAACTAACATTTATCGGATCAAATGGTTAATTTGGAAAAGTTTATGTAACTTTTCTATGCACTGATAAGAAAAAATTAAAAATATAAATGGTTAAACTGCAAACGATCCATAATATAATAGCCCATTTTGTAAGTTATTGAGCTAATTGAGTTAAGAATTACTAACTTACCATTTTACTTGTCCACCTAGAACCAAGAAACTCGTTTATGGCGAACGATTTGAAGCCATAAGAAAGAGGCGAAACCCAGTAAGCCCACTCCCACCAGTTTGGAATACTTGTTTTAGGAAGTATAAAACCACCCAAAAGAAATATCATAAGAAGTACAACAGATCCACCCGTGTTCGCAATATTCATTGTTTTACAAACCCCAGCAATGAGTCTAAAAAGTCCTGATGCCACATTCTGGATCAAGAAAACCAACAGAAGATGCTTGAAGAACCTGTAAACCATATTCAATTAACATATAAAATATGAAATAACAAAGTGGTATATATATATATATATATATATATATATATATATATATATATATATATATATATATATATATATATTAAATTAATAACAACTTTTAAATAATTAATTACCTCGAAGCATCAGGGGCAAGATCAACTCCATAGTAATAGATGCCACACCACACAATACTCTCTAGCACAGATATAGGAATACGAAGCAAGAAGGATGGAAGAGTGAAAGCCCATGAAGGATGAAACATGAGGTCCCTTTGCTTGTAAACAACAGGAAGCCTCATGATAACTAATGAAAGATCAGCAAGCCCATTAAAACATGTTTATGAGCAAACTGTTCAAAAGTGCCCCTACATAGATTCGACCATCTTGTTCATCCCTTTGGTGCATAGTTGTCCTAAAATACAATGTCATGGTGATAAATCCTATAAACACGATTTGTATAGACTTGAAAACGTAAATGAACGCATTTCTCTTCATTAGTAACCACTCCTTATCCCATGAAGCTTTGAGAAGCTCCATTTTGGGGACCAAGTATTTTTTGAAAACTAAAGCAGCTTGATGGCTTTTGCTTTTATCATATGGAATTGACAACTCGTTTTTCAACTTCTCCCCCACATGGAAATTCTTGAATCGCTTCGAAAATTCACTGACTGATATGTATCTATATGGTCTATTTTTATCTGCCCAATATTGTTCTTGGTCCTTTTTAGATGTCACCTATCATAAACACATTAAAAAACGTTTTAATATTTGATGTATATACAAAATTGTAAAGATTGAGATTGGTATGTGTTGTACTTAATTACTTACCTCTTGTAAGAAGTCAGCAGTACCCTTTCTTTCTGGACATACGAATCCACAAGCTTCAAAGAACTCAAGAATATTGTCACGTGGTCCTTGATAAACGATTTGACCCTCAGATAGTAGGATGATGTCATCGAAAAGATCATATGTCTCTGGGGCAGGTTGTAGTAGGGACATGAAGATGGTGGAATCGGTGAGGTGTACAACTTGTTGTAAGCATTTGACTATTTGAAAAGTAGTGGAACTATCTAGACCCGTTGATATCTCGTCCATAAAAAGTGTTTTTGCTGGTCCAACAAGCATCTCCCCTGGGACCCATATATATCCATTAAGTACTTTATCCATACACCACTTAATGTGGAAAAAAGAAAAAAGAGAAAAAAAAATAGTTAACCAACCTGTGGTTACACGTTTCTTTTGTCCCCCGGAGATACCTCGTCTCATTTGATCTCCAACAAATGTGTCACGACATACATCTAGACCCAATATCTGTTTTGGTTTAATAAACATATGAGTATTGTTAGTGATGACGTTTTTGGAGAGAAAATTTGGCACTCGACATATGTAACTAAGAAATATTTTGATTTGGGTATGGATAGATTAAGACTATAAAGAGTCATGAATACTTACTCTTAGAGTGTAATAAGTAATCAAACTGCTCACATCTCCTTCAATTGCAGTTGCTTTCATGAAAAAGTCAACTTCAGCTTCCGGGTTCACACCTTCTTCCTTTTCTCTTCTTGCAAGCTCCGTTAGCATTTCTGTATTACATTATTTAGCTATAAATTATGTCTGCTAGAAACATTATTTAGACCCAATATCCCTATATGCTATTTTAAAGAGAAATTTTATAAAATCAATATTTAACTAGCATCGTATAAGAACCGTTGTTCCACATTATTAGCTAGGCATGATTTCATATTTCGTCTATATATATATATATATATATATATATATATATATATATATATATATATATATATATATATATATATATATATATATATATATATGTTAAAAAAGTCAAATATTAAACATATCTAACTAGCAAGAAGTTAACTAGTTAAGTTACCTAAACGAGATCCAACTCCTTGACATCTTGCTGAGAAATCTAAAGTTTCTTTCACAGTCATTTCTCCAACATGAACATCGCTCTGGCTAATGTAGGCTGATGTCCTTCGTGGTTCAAATTCATTAAGCTTATAACCGTTGTAAGTTATCTCTCCATCAACTTCTAAGTTGTGATCCAGCCTTCCTGCCAGTGCCAACAAAAGGGATGTCTTACCAGAAGATGGAGGACCCAACAGAAGTGCCATCCTGTAATAAATTACAACACTTGCATCAGCTACGAGTGAAACCATATATTCTATTTAATCACCCAATAATAGAAAAAATGAATATATATTTATTTTTAGAAATAGACTATTATCATGGGACAAATAAAGAAGTAAATATGAACTATTAATATGAGACGAACACAATATAAAATTAGATGTTTTACAAAGGTTTTAGTTAAGTCTACTTTTAATCGTTTTTATTAATACAAATTATTGACATTGAATTATTTAAGTATGTATTTATTAATAGTTTAAAAATTATATATTGTATTATTATTATTATTTTATAAATATAATTGAGTTGATAACATGTTGCAAGTGGATTTGACCTTGAAGATGATTACATGATAGAGCATAACGTCATAACGTCAACATCTAGAAAGCTTACCTTTTTTTTTAAATAAGTAGAAACTAGAAAGGTTATATTTAAAAGTTTTCTTTAATACATAAACAGTTTTAAAAGTTTATTAATAATCCAACACTTGTTCTCTAGTATTTAAAATGTTGTATATTGCTTTATATAATCTTTTGTTTTCTAAATGTACATTATATTTTATATTTGTGTTATTTTATCAAATTAGTTAATGAAATAGAATAAATAGTAAAAAATAATAAAGTTATAGATATACAATATTATGAACGAGGTAAAAGAGAAATGTTATATATTAGAATGAGATGGTAAAAGTTAATATACAATAGATAATAAATGGTTGAAAATAATAAATAGATGATTGAATAATTAAAAAAAATTATAAGTTGATACAGGCACATTATTTAATTATATTGCAACAATTTATTCTTTCAAATTTTTTGACGATTCTTTTTGGTCTTCTACCATGATGACTATTAATATATATGACGTCATTATTTTGAAATAAATAGAGAAAGCTACATCGATCCTCCTAAGTTTTTTCCTTTAAATTTCATATAACCAATATATATAATCATGTTTTGGATATTGGAATGTGAGATTGTACCTTTTTGGCTTGATAACTCCCGACACATCTTTAAGAATACGTAATTTAGCTTTCTGAGAGAAACTGATCCCAACAGTAGCGAGAAGAGATTCAACAATATTTCTAGCAGCATTTATGAGCGTTGGAAGTGCTCTATCTCCCACATGACAATCAGCTTCTATACTCAAATTTTGAAACCGCACTTCAACTGTTGGAAGCGAGATTCCAACCCTGAGATTAATCATAACAAAAATAAGTTTATTAGTAAGTTTATTACATATGAAGCGTGAAATGTACTTGAGACAACAAATTTAACACTGAAGAAACTAAAAAGAAACACAGGGTCAGTTGACTTTTGGCGAATGAGAAGAAGACTTACTTGTCAACGCGATCTCTAAACTTCCTTAAGAACCTTTCATTATCTTCTTCAGGAACCACAAAAATCTTATCAATGAAACTCTGTCGAGCAGTTGGGTCAAGCTCACGTACATCCACCAGCATCTGATGATCAGCTGAATGCGTTTCCTGTTGACCCGGTGGAATATATGACTTGAAAATGGTGGTTCGTAATCGAGTGTAAGTTGGTAGTTTCTCCAATGCAGCCCACCGCAATGCCTCTTCATCTTCCATGGAATGACGACTGCTCCGGCCGTCATGACTACCACCTGCACCGCCGGAAAAAGCATCTTCAATCCGCCAACTCCCTGCAGCAACGCTGATACTCCTACTTATGTTTCTCGCTAAATTTGACTTCCCCCTCTTCCTCCATTTTTTAATCTCTATTTTGTTTGTCTCTTATGGTTTTTCTTGTTTAAAATAATGATCGAGGGATTAGCAGTTTATATAACGCATTATAACGGAATAGTCAAAATTTCAACGCTTTGATTTATTCCTATTCTTGCAAGTTTAGACGACCTGTATGTATCACGAGTACCTTCCAATTTGGTAGTCCAATAAATTAATCTTTTGTTTGACGTGTGAAAAGTCGTTTGGGGTCAAAGAGAAAAATAACATAAAAGTAAAAGCAAAAGAGAAAAGTAATGGGAAATTTAATGTAATGGGAAGTTGGAAACACACCCATTCTAGAACATCATGAATTAAACATTATTTAATTTGAATAGATCTATTCCGAGATGATGGGAATATGTACGTAATATTATCACACTCATTCTAGAATATAATGAAACATTATTTAATTTGAATAACTCCATTCCAATATAATGGGAAAATACAATGGGAACACATTCGTTCCAAAAAAAAAAAAACATTACCTGTGTTCTTTTATTCGATAATCCAACTTGGTTTTATAATATTAAGGCCAGAAGACAAAGTATAATACAAAAGTGTTAATAATTCAGTTAGTTAATTTGTTGTAAACCAATTAGTTAGTTTGTTGTAAATCGATTAGCTATGCTACTTAGCTTTGGGTTGTTTTTGGTGTATATAATATAGGGAAACTGAATAATCTAACCATTTATAGAGGGTATATTTTAAAAAGAACCCCTTATTTTTTTTTAATGACCATCTGTTATGAAAAACCTTCATTCCGGACCTGTATTACAAATCGGGTAAATGGGCCGAAAGATCCTACCTGGTACTATAGTCCATCCTATATATAAAATGTCGGACAGCTTCTCCGGAACACCTATTTTGGATAGTATTTCAGACTTATTCTCTCTTGTTCTGTGCTACTCCAAATTCACAATATGTCATCTTTTAGCAGCGAAGAACTCCAATATTTTAAATATTATTTTTCACCTTGAATGTTTTGAGAACAAATTGGTGTATGGATTAATATTTTAAAAATGAAAATTTTTCCATGGATTTTTGGGTCTTTACAACTGACATTTTAGTTTTGAAGACGCAACATAGGCTAGTTTACCTTGTTTCATTATAGCATGAAAACATAGATTAAGTGGTTATAACTACAAACCACACTTAGGCAGGGAAATAAATGGTCCGTTTACACACCTCTTCACATTCAACGTTGTTTAGGGACTCTTGCTTCGGTGTGTGGATTGACATGTCGATGGGTATAGAATGTCACCCGTTATTATGCCATTACTTTTTGTGCATGTGGAGGAGTTACTATTCTCAATAGGTGACTACCAGGTATGCTTTGATTAGAGAGCTTTCTACATTGTCATCGGTTGCGGTTCGGGAAGTATTTTCCAGTTTGTTTATCTTTCACATGTTTCAGACATCGTGTGTTTCCTTTTGTTTTGGGTTTAGAGTTAGACAAAGTTACCGGCATAATACAAGTGTTCAATAATTCACTTCATCGATTATCTGACAACGAAGAGGTAGTGCGAGTCTCCTGCTATATATGTTAGAGCAAGGATTTATGTTAGATACTAGAGACAATCATTATAAGAAGAATACCTTGCACTGGAATCTAATTTTGACCGGTTCAACATATATAATTTGTTTGATTTGTACCTATGTGGTAAGTTTTGGTAGATTAAATAAGGCATGCACCAAGCATGACATGTCATAGTAATAGTCCGCATCACTAAGGTGTTGTTTGTTTTTCCGAAGTGAAACTGTATGAAGTCTGCGGACCACTTCTGCAGCCCTCTGCAGCAGAAGAGGTGGACCAAAGTGCTGCAGACTGTAATGAGAAGCATGTTTGTTTTTTTAACGTCTGCAGGCTGCTACAGATATTAAAAAATTTAAAATAAAGTAATTTAATAAACCGAAAATAGTTTTTTAATACCAAAAATTTAATAAGTGTAGTCTTAAAACATTGAAATAAAATTCAAACAACCAAATTAGTCTTACAATAACATTTTTAAATAAAATTCATACAACCAAACTTTAATAATTCTCATTCCATTTTTTGCATCAATTGTTCGGCAATTTCATCCCGTAATTGGGTCATATATTCACGGTTCGCTGCAGTACCATGTGTTGGAATCTCATCTTCATCATTATCAACGACTGCATTGTTATTCCGAACCGGGACATTTGGTTCATCATATCGTGCAAAATACTCATCACATAGTCCCTCTCTTCTTATAAAATTATGAAGCACAAAACATGCTAGGGTATGTTTCGTTGTGTAACCAACGAGAATGGTGTCATCCTCTTCAATATAGGGAATCGTGCTTTCAAGACACCAAAAGCACGCTCAATGACATTCCGAAGTTTTGCGTGTACATGGTTAAATTTTTCTTTATTCGTTAATGCACGTCTTCGACGGAAATCTCCAAGCCAATATCTCACATTACGGTACGGTGACATAAAACCTCGAATGTTTGCATAGGCGGCATCACAAAGATAATATTTATCTGTAAAAAAAACAAAAAAAAAAGTCATTTATTTTTCAAACTAAGATAAAACTATTTCTCACATTACGGTACGGTGACATAAAACCTCGAATGTTTGCATAAGCGGCATCACAAAGATAATATTTATCTGTAAAAAAACAAAAAAAAAAGTCATTTATTTTTCAAACTAAGATAAAACTATTTAAATAACCATAAATTTACCTGATGGTGGAAGCGGGAATGGTGCATGTGGATTTGCTAATGCTTCTGATAAAATTCTAGACTCGTGTGCTATCCCTTCCCAACCGGCCACAACAAACGTAAACATCATGTTGAAGTCACATATTGCCAATACGTTTTGTTAACAATCGCTTTTTCCCCTACTTCTATATAAATCTTGTTTGTTTGCAGGGACAACAGCATGTATCAAAGTTCCATCAAGTGCACCAACTGCTCCCTTGAACACCCGCCGTAGCCTCCTATTATGTCCCGGAATGTTTGGATTCGGATTAAAAGAAATTGGTACTATAATGTCATGTGCGAAAAGCAACATTTGTCCAACACTTCATGAAAAAACTTATGAATTGTTTGCTTTGAGTGTTGAAATCTCCGCTTGATAATCACATAACGCTGGTTATGACCGATCATCATCAAAAACATAGCCATCTTCTCCTCAACCGACACATGTTTGCTATCCTTTAACACGTAGTTTACTCTAAAATGAGCACATAGCTGGACAAATGATTCACGGGACATGCGTAGCACTTAAAGACATTGTAGAGGATTACGGTGAAGTAACTCTAACGTAAATTCATGTCCCGTCATTTCCGAATCGTTGTCCCACACTCGTTTGACACCCCTCTTCTAAAAGTAGCGGACGTACAAGTACATTAGAATTATGAGTAGTATCTTTTTGTCGTGATCCATTAGGAACCTATTAATCAACACAAGTACCAAATAAAAAAAAACATAAAACTCAAGTACCAAATAACATAACCAAATAACCAAAATACATAACCACATAGTTCAAGTACCAAATACTGCAAATAACATTCAAGTACCAAATAACCACATACTACAAATAACATTCAAGTACCAAATAACCAAAAAACATAACCACATAGGTCTAACACATGCAATTAAAACCTAAACAATTCAAATATGTAAACCTAACGGACAATCTTTCCATCCTTCAATACTCCTAAACTTGTAGTTGTCATCTCGATCCATCCTCTTAATATCTGTGGATCATTAGGCAAATTTACCCACATCTCTCTCATATTCTTGGTCCCTCCAAAAATATGATAAGCAGCAAATCGTAGAGGGTCTACTAGGCTAACTCGAGTAACTCTAGATTCTCTAAACATTGGGGAATTGTTGGCCCTTGAGTTAAATGTCGTAGAGCTTTCTGCATCTCCAATGCTAAATCATCAGCAGTAATAGAAGCTTTAGGGGAGGCACTAGAAGGTGGATCAGGTGAGGCACTAGCATCTCGAGGTCTAGGAGTTGAGGGTTTAGCTCTTTTGTTTGGGTTACCAGAAGGTGAAGCAGCAGAAGGTGAAGCAACAGAAGGTGAAGCAGCATAAGGTGGTGGCTGAGTAGTATGATTGGAAAACAAATCATCCTCATCTATGTTAACAGAAGGGGTGTCCATAAGTTGTAGTGGTGCGACATGGAAAGAAGATGGTCCATGTCCTGATGGTGTTTGGGATGTGGCATAGCTGAGATTACCAGAGGCACTATTTCCATCAAAGAGTTCTGCACAAAGCTCTGGAAACAACAATGGGACAGTTTTCAAAGAAGAAGCTTTCGGATGTCCCTAAACCCAATCAATGTAACAAAAGTAGTATAAGAATAAATGGAAACTATATAAACAAAATACATATTAATATGTGTGTGTGTGTGTGTGTGTATATATATATATATATATATATATGTACCTTTTTAAAGTCCTCCCACTCCTCATTTGTTAAGTTACAAGTGTTTGTTTGAGGATTGTAAAGGTTGCCAGTTTTGTTTTTCAAATATAACCATCCCATGTATTTGGCTTTAAGGTTGTCATAAGCGTTTTTCAATTGTCTTTGACTCAAATCCACACCAAACTTTTCCTTAATGGTTTTTCCTAATTTGTTCCATGAGTGTTTGTGCAAACTCAAACCTTTTCTACCCACACTTTGTACTTCTTCAATACAAGTGTTCAATAAGAATTTTGTTTGCTCATTGGTCCATGTATGTTTATCTGTCATTGCTAATAAAAAAACATATGGAATACATACTTTAGCAGACATAACCTTATACCAATAACTTTCAGCATAATTACAACTTGTATTGATGAAAATAACCAATTTCAACAAAGATTATTCATATTTCAACAATTATGACACTTCAGCAACATTTTATGACATTTGAACAATATTTCATGACATTTTAGCAACAATGTGTGACATTTCAGCAACAATTTGTAACAATTCAGCAACAATTTGTGACAATTCAGCAACAATTTGTGACATTTCAGCAATAATTAGTGACAATTCAGCAACAATTTTACGATATTTCAGCAATATTTCATGATAATTAAGCAACAATATGTGACA